GAACCACACTGCTCCATTACTCACAGATGGATCAGTACTAATCAACACTCCTCGCAGTGAGGAGATGCTCATCCACTAATACTTCTCTAGAGATATGGACACACCGGAGTTAAAGTAGATTTTGTGATCAGTCAGGTAGCTGCACCTGCCCTTTAACTATCATAGTGTCACCTACTGTGTAATAGTAGAGTTTAATGCTGTATTACACATTAGCTTTTAGAGTTAGACATAATAATCAACTAATTTATATTTTGTCAGAAACCAAAAATCAGGTCTACACATAAATATAAATATAAAAGAAACTAAGACAAAACTAAGACCTCCAATGTCATCATTATGGATTATTAATTATGCCGTACTTGGATGTTGTTGGACGTGATGTTTGAATAAATAAATTAATATGGAAATCATTATTTTGACCTATGCTGAAGCCACCTCTGTTGTTGTTGTTTTATCAAAATTCAAAATTCAGTGTTTTCTCTTTTTTAGTTTGAAAATAATACAAATAGTCCATTGATTTGAACTGCTGCTGACATGACAGACTGAGGGTTATTCACACAGATGGAAACTGTCAGCAGGTGAGAAGCAGAGCAATATACTCTGAGTCACTGTGGATTAAACATTTTCATATTTAAAAGTTAAAAGTTTTCAGGTTTTGTCAATCTGTATTTCTCCAAATTCACATATAAATGAATCCCCAGTGACTGAAAGTGAAATAAAAGATTTGTTACACGGTAACTGTCCTATAACAGACACATAATGCCAATGCTTCAAACATGTGTCAACGTAGCAGGTGAAAGATGGACAAGGTTTGGATTGACGAGTTGCAGGTGGGGTTTGAAAAGCAAAGACTGGCAGATGAAACTGTAATGTAAGTGCACCTCAGACAGGAAGGCAACTCAGACAGGAAGGCAACACAGACAGGAAGGCAACATAGAATGCGGGCTGAGATCAAACCTATGGTGACATGGACGTTTGAAAACACACTCTTAAGCTATTATACCTTGTTCCATTTGAAAAGGTTTGATCGTATTTCTTCTTCTCTTCATCCTCTTACACTCCACACACCTCTGCACTGTGAGGGCGGTTTATCTCACAGCTTTTATCTTAATGTGTTTTCTTTTAAATCCAAGGGGGCATACAGAAGAACTAACTGGGATCCTGCTGTGAAAGTGATTTGATAGTGACGACATCTTATTAGGAGCATACGCTCAGACTTTAGCCTGCTGTGAGATTCCAAATCAGCCGGTTCATTTATCTGCTCGATGTACGTCTTACACCTGCAGGCCTGGCAATGAAGCTCCTCCTCTTGTGGTTGCATGGAAAATGTGTCATGTTTAACAAGTCATCTGTGCATTAAGTTTCAATTAGCTACAAGTTGTCAAAAAACAAATTACAAAAGAAACTACAGTTGTTCTTGGTTGAGTGAGTCAAAAAAAATGAGCAGATTTCTAAATATGAAATCAATATTTGAAAGAAAAGTTGGCAAATAAATCTGAATCTGTTGTCATTTTCTTGATATTTCTTGATGTTATTTTCGTTACGCATCAATGTTTGTCCTTTTTTCTACTGTATAGGCCATAATATCCAATGCTGCCTTTGGACTGTTGCATAGGTTCATGCTAATAGGTCAGAGGTTTTGTAGGGTTAACAGGTGGAGGTCAACAGGTGCAGTCACCACACTTTGCAAATCATCACGAATGCGTGCAGGGGTCCGTTCAGTTGTTAGTGGGTTTCTCTCTACACACCAAGGCTGACAGGCTCCTGTTACCTGAGGTCAGTCTCTGAGACACTCCTCTGGTGCAAGTCCTCTTCTTTCTCCACCACATCCTCCTGATGCTCCTTCTCTCTGTCTAACTCACTACCTCTCTCGCTTCGCCCTCCCTGCACATACTCCCCCTCCCTGCCCCTTTCTTGTCCTCCTCCTTCTGCCTTCACCTCCTCTTGCACCTCCTCTATCTGTTCGTCACCTTGAGACTGGCTCCTTGATCTCACTGAGCTGAAGGCGTTGAAAGAAGCAAAAAAAAAAAAAAGCAGCACATGCGAAGCAGAAAGAAAGCCACAAAAGCATGAACAATGTCAAAGAGGAGCTAAGACAGGAGCGACTGAGACAGGTTAAAAGCAGACTGAGTGAAGAAAACAGGAAACAGGAATGTGGAGAATAAGCAAAGAGCCAAACAAATCATGTTGTGCTCTGATGTGAGGTGAGCCTTAAAAGACGTGAAATGTGACGTGTCTTTTGTTACTGCATTCCTCGGTCAGAAATGGACAAACATCTCCCCTCAGCTGTGAAAGAGTAGAGTTCAACCATTTGGTTCCAGATGTTTGTGAAAACAGAGCCAAACCTGAACCCACCACAGTGAGAATTTGACAGACTGTTCTAGATTAACCAAGTGCAAACAATTTCAGCACTGAAACTGCCTGTACGTGGAAACATCTGTCAGTAAAAAGAAACATTTCTTCAGCCGAGGGGAGAGTTGTCTATTTTTGACTAAATGGACAAAGGACAAGTGTCCTCTTGTGGAGGACATCAGCCTACCGGATTTTTCGGTTTCCTTGCGGCCTTTCTGATTGGACAGACATGTAGCTCGTGCCGAGAGGCGCTACTGGTTCTCGACACAGCGGACACGTCGCTTACATCACTGTCCGAGGACTTGGCCGACAAGTTGTCTGAGCCCCGTGGATCTCTGCCCGAACGCTGCAACCAAGACAACAGATGAAAAAAAATTGGGTCATTATTGTATAATGCTGATAAAATTGATGCAAATGAACAAAAATGTTTTATGGTCATTTTTTTTGTTTTATGGTGATTTGTTTGTTTAGAAATTATATATATATTATATGTTTTCCAGACAACCAATTGGAATTTGCTTCTTTTTCAAAAATGAAAAAAAAAACAAAAAACAAAACAGCCAAAATGTTATCTTTTCGTTATCCCTGAGGACAGGTTCATTTTTAGATGTGGACAAATGTGTTCTCTCTCAAAGCACCTCACAGACCAGTTTCCAAAATATTTTATGATAAAAATAGATATATTTATATATCCACCCTTGTAGTGTGCACAGAGCCATGTGTTTACTACTCTTTTCAGGCATGCTGAGCATGTTCAGAAACGGCTGACCGAATGCGGTCAGGACAAAGATTTTCAAAACAAAGTTCCTCAGTACATCTTTCCTTTTAAGTCAATGTTATGAAAACTATTGCATTTGGAGCTGCTGCTGCTGCTGCATCTGCGAAGACTCCACAGGGTGGAGACTAAACGGACTTGTCCTCGACTGTTGAACGTTATCCTGCTTGGAAATGCCATTGTCAAAACAATGCACTGGCTATTATTAAACAAGACCTCAGAGAGTGTGCTGTTAAAACCCAGAGTAATGCTGAACAGTTACTGTAACACTCTGTTCAGAGTAAACATGTCACATATGACAGATAGTGTACACACACACACACACACACAGTGTGTATAATTTGACCATAAAGGAATTTAAACTAATGAATTGGAAAAAAGGAATGATAAGGAAATACATTTAAAACATGAATAATTAACCAAACAACTGTGTAGAACACGATTGAGCATTGGCATGGCAATTAAATGAAAATGAATGAATTAAATTAAAATGATAGAATAACCAATGAATATAATGAATTTAATTAAAGATCAGTTTTAACTCTGGCAAACAAGAAGCCATAAGATGTGCTACATCTCAAGGATGCTGAGATGAGATACGTATATTTAACCAATATCACCACTAGATGTAGCTAAATCCTATATATGTAAACCGGATACTTGTTGTTTTTTTGTTTTAATATAATATGTATTAATATTTATAATTTGGTGAGTAGAGTAACAGGAAGTGAATAATTGTCTCTGCAATGATGTTGGGCTGTTAGCCGCACAGGATAATTAGTATAAGTTTGATTATAAGCCATGGCTTTATTTCCATTCAAAACAGTAATAATATATTTTTTAAAATATGTATGTATCTATATCTACATATATCTATATAGATATATATATCTTTATGTATGTATATATATATTTTCAGATTTTTTTATTATAAATAGTGGCTAGAATAGTTTCTCTTGCATATGTTAACAGGCATATTAATGTTAGAGACATTTAATATGTAACAGCACCACTAGATGCTGCTATACCCCACACAATGTCTCTTTGAAAAAGCCCACCTTTACTTAATGCTGTTTATTTGTCCGGCACGTTTGTCACTCGTCCAGTTTTATGTGGCTGCGCGGATGCACAGTGTGCAGTCATCAGTGCACACACGCAGCCGCTGTTGATGTGCTCATGCTTGACTGATTTAACAGTGCGCCATATGACACTGTAGTGCAGCTGCATGGTGTTAGAGTATGAAAGCTTACAGTAAGTGCAGTGCTCCTACCTTGTGAAAGTCCTGCTCCAGTCTGGAGTCGGAGCCCGCCCCCTGTTTGTACTTGTTCATCTTCAGCTTCATCTGCCTCGTCCTCTCCTCCATGTCCATACCTAAGCACAGAGAAGAGGGACAGTTAGACAGTGGCTTAAAGAGTGAGCGAAACCCGATGGGTGAGGACATAAGGTTATGATGAGAGACGAGTTACTGCAGAGCTTTAAGCCATGAGCCATGACGAGGACAGATCAAATGGAAGGAAGCCGAATGGTCAGCTGTTTATCACACAAACAGAGAGGAAACCCCATGAGAGATCACTAGCAAAGACTACTACTTTATTTATGGTCATTGGTCCAAAACTACTTGAGTCCCAAAGAACACGAGGACCACTGAGTTTTTGACAGCATTAATTCTCCAACCTCAATCTGGAACATTCACTTTCACACAGAGACTTCCCTGTTATATCTGCAGCTCTATTCTCTCCTGCTTTGTCTCTACTTTTGTGTCAGATGAGACCAATGACAAATAAAGAGAAGATGAATGTCATATGTCATGCCTATAGCTTCAAATACACAAAATGCATAATAACACGACACTGAAGGAGTGAATAAACAGGTGAGGCAAAGGAAATGTTGTCTGACAAGAATTTTCTCTGGTGTTTTTGTCTCTTTTTTTGCCAAATTGCTAATTTAAAAAGAAGAAAAATAAAGGATCCATCTTAGACCATTCTGTTCATCAAAGACAGGTATGAACTAATAAACTTGACAAGTAAAGACATAAGAGAATTTATTCCTATTAGTACCAAAATATCACCACTAAAATACATTCTATACAGTAAACCTTAAAACATGTTATTGTAATTGCTTAAGAATCAACAACCTTTCTGACAGCTTATGTAGAAAAACAAGGCTATCCAAATAAGAAAAGGTCACTTGACCCACATAAGGAAGTGAACCAAATGTTATATATATATATATATATACGTGTGTGTGTGTGTGAGTGTGATTTAGAATTGTTAGAATAAACATCATAGTTCTAGCCAGAAGACCGTCTTTGGTTTAAGTTTGACCCTGAATCCCAGGTTGGCCAACCTAAGGCCTGTGAACCATTCATTGGGCCAGATCACTTGTTCTTTATGAAGGCTGTGCTTCCATGTATAGAAAAGTACAGCGAATGGGAAACTCCTCTGAGAAACAACTGCATTGTTTTTCTCTATCTGTTATATATAATAGAAATAATGTACACATTTCATCACCTGAGAATTAATGTCGAAGGGTAACGTGGAAAATAACAGCAACTAAAATTATTCATGCTGGCAAAATAATATGAAAAACGAATTTGTCTGAAGCCAAAACAGTGTGAAAAAATGTTAATAAAAACTGAAATGCAAACAGCACCAGAAAAGGGTGTGAGCAAAGCAGGAAAGAAAAAGAGTGACTAAGATGAAGGGAAGTGGAGAGGGAAGGTCAAGCCAGGGAGACAAAAAGATTAAGAAAAAAGAGACAAGGGAGAGGGGGGAAAGAAGAAGAAAGGACAGACCTGAGCTCCAAATTGGTGAATCCGTGTCTTCAGGGATCACATCACAGAATGAACAGACACAGACAGAGGAGAGGAAGATGGATGTGAGAGGATGCACAAAGGGCAAGGGGGTAGACAGAGGAGGAGAGGGGTAAATAGAGGAAGGGCAACATCGTCGTAGTGGTCACCAAATGTGGCAGGTTTTGGAGGATCAGAGTGAAGGGACAGAGGAGGATGGAAGGTCAGGGAGGTCAGGAGGAACACGGCACAACAAGAATACGACACAACAATGACAAAATAACAGGCACAGAACAAACCAATAAAATCATAGAGTACACCAAGAACACACAAACTCCACCATGGGCACAACAATAAGAAGTTGTAATAGATTATTAATGGGGTAGAAGGCCAGGTGAGGCTGAGGTAGAGGCTACAAGTTATCAAAAGTCGTTAGAAATCAGAAAATGGAGAACGTTTGGGTGAGGTGAGGTTCTGTGCTCTAAAGAGGAAAAAAAGAGCTGAAACAGTTAAAAAAGAAGTTAAAAGTTCCCGACTGGACAAAAACTTGAGATCTCTGTGAGAAAAGGAAGTGAGGGGAAGAGGAGAGGAGGGTAGAGGGAGAAGTGGAGTTCACCTAAGTCGGCATGAGGCAACTGTCAGGAGACAGCCTGGAAAATGAAATTTAAAAAAAAAGAAGAAAAACAAAGGGAAACAAAGGAATACAAACTGAAGCACAGGGCAGTGAGCACAAAAGAGAGAGTTTACTAGCTGACAGTGTACACACACACACACGCGCGCACGCTCACATTCATGCAAAATCATTTGCTACAGCTTTGCTTTGAAATCACTTTATAAAATGACAAGGTCTGTCTGCTGTTGGACGTGAGCTTTGCTTTTTTTCTTTTGAGACATTATTCAAGTCCTTCTCTC